AGATGTGGAACCCACTAATACACAGGGCCAACTGTATTTACAAATGCATATACAGTCTTGTGTCAGTTAGCAGTGGGGATACCTTCTGAGAAAGGCATTGTTTGGTGATTTCCTCATTGTGTGAACATCATAGATCATACCCACACAAACCTAGATGGCATAGCCTACTACACACTTATGCTATATGGTATAGCCCGTTGTTCCTAGGCTGCAAACCTATACAGCGTACTGTGCTGAATACCATAGGCAATCAAAACATAATGATATTTGTGCATTTAAACATATCTGAATAGAAAAGGTACAGTAGAAACATGGTGTTATAATCTTATGGGACCACTGTCATATATGTGGTTTGTCATTGAACAAGATGTTTTTATACTGCTCATGACTATATTTAAAAAGGAAGAATGATTGAAAACTATTGAGCCAAGCATTCAACTCAGAATGATTAAAAAGGAATAACAGAATGAACCCCCCGGAAGTAGAAAGGAAATAATGATATGAAGAGAAATTATGAGCTGAAAATAGGCCAATAATAAAGAAAAGCATCATTCTCAGCAAACTGACACAAAAACAGAAAACCAGACACCACATGTTCTCCCTATTAAGTGGGTGTTGAACAACGAGAACACACAGTCTCAGGGAGGGGAATATCACACACCGGGACCTGGGGGACTAGAGGAGGGATGGCAGAGGGTAGGGGTATTGGTGAGGGATGGCATTAGGAGAAATACCTAATGTAGATGACGGGGCAATGGATGCAGCAAACCACCACCATGGCACATGTATACCTATGTAACAAACCTGCACGTCCTGCACATGTACCCCAGAACTTAAAGTATAATTAAAAAAAGAAAAGCAACAGATCAAAAGCTGTTCTTTGAAAAGTCTAATGAAATGTTAGCCCTCTGGCAAGGCTGTTTTTTTTTCAAGTAGCAGAAAGAACAAACAATATGTATTCCAAATGAGCTAATAAACTATCTTCTTAAATCTGTTATGAGCAATCTGAGGTATGGGTCAAATGCTAAACATTTTTACTGTGAAAGAACTAGTCAAACATCTCACCCTGTAAAATGGAGATCAGTAACATTAATCTCAATCTTTTCATGGAAGGACTTATGCTTTAAATACTTTTCAGCTATTTAATATGACAAGTTTTAATATTTCCAAGAATAACACTTAGATCAGTTATCAGACTGTCAAGTACCCAGTCAACACAAAGTAACCTGAAAGAAAGATGTAAAAACCTATATTTTTGTTACTGCTTCCCACATACTACTGTTTTTAGTAGATAAAAAGTGATTTCCGTTTTCTCAGCAATACCCTTCTATTCAATAATGTAAGTAATGTTTTAAGAGTATTATTACATTTCTATCCATGGAACTTAATAAAGGGGTAAAAAAGAACTATTTTTTATTTTGAGTAAAAAAGAACTATTCAGCCATGTGCAGTGGCTCATGCCTATAATCCCAACACTTTGGGAGGCTGAGGCTGGTGGATCACCTGAGGTCAGGAGTTCAAGATTAGCCTGGCCAGCATGGTGAAACCCAGTCTCTACTAAAAATACAAAAATTAGCCAGGTGTGGTGATGCATACCTGTAGTTCCAGCTACTTGGGAGGCTGAGGCAGCAGAATTGCTTGAACCCGGGAGATGGAGGTTGCAGTGAGCAGAGATCGTGCCACTGCACTCCAGGCTGGGCTGGCAAAGTGAGAATCTGTCTCAAAAAACAAAAAATCATTAACACTGTTGTTTTTTGGGAATTGATCCTCTAAAGAGGTTATTTACCCTCCACTCTAGTTGATTAAAATTAACTTGGTTTATTAAAAGAATAACAAGACCATATCAGTATCTCATTCACCTCTTTGCCAACAGGCCTCAACTTGATCTACATGGAAGTAACCCTTTTAGAAAGAAGTTACTAACTTATGTGTGACCACCTTAGACAAATCACTTGAACCTCTATGGATCAAGGTTTTCTCAACTCTTAACTTTTGGTTTGAGACCAAAATGATTGCCTATAATATTTATCACCTATAAAGTATGGGTACCTAGAAGCAGCATGATACCAGCCTAAACCTGTTTGGACTTTACATTAATCTCTTAATAAGCATTGCATCATGGTTAAGAGCACAGTCTTCAGCTAAATGTCTGGGTTTCAGTCCTCATTCACTAACTTTATGGGCTGGGATAAGTTATGTAACCATTCTTCTATTTCCTCATCTGTAAAATGGAAACAGGAGTAACTATGTCAGATTTGTACAAGTTAATTAGATATCATATGTAACATATTTAAAGCAGTGCCTGGCCCAAATTAATACCATGTAAGTGTTAGCCATTGTCATCACTATTGATTGTGCTTCCAAGTGTTAACAATTTGTTGAAAGCTATCTTCATTTGTTAGGGAAAGAGGTCCCTGGAGCCTTACCAGAAAGCTCAAATACAATTCTGAAGGTAGTTCAGATTCAGTGATGGTGCATTTATCACCAATGTTTTGTGAAACTGCACTTGAAAAGAGTCAAATACACAACTGTTTGTTCACTTTTACATATAATCTCAAAAGAGAAATACCATATAGACTCCACAGTCCTTTTGTGTATGTTCATTGTGCTAGTTTTTCTTAATAGAATGTAATGAAATAAAGGAAAGTAATTATTAAGTAACTGGAAAACTTAATATTTAGAAAGGCATTGAATACCTAGTGAAAATTCAAATAAAACATTCTTTACTATTTCTTACCCAACATTTTTTGCTATTAGTGCTGAAATGTGAAAATGAATTACAAGTTAAAGGAGCAAAGTAATTTTAATACTTAATTTTGGCGCTTTACGGAATACAAACAGCATAGTACAAAATTCAGGAAATTAGTATTGACTTTTAGGCAAAGATTTCGTAAAGATAACTTGGGTTTTCATTTGTGGTTTTTCACAAAACATTCATTTTCAGCTTAATATTTTTGAGAGACAAATTTTAATTTATTACTCCAAAGTTCTCTAAAATCAAAATATTCTTCTCCTTTTCCCCTTACATTCTTTACTAAACTTTTAACCATATTAATTTATTCTGTTTGGAACTTAAAGATACAGACTTGTCAAATAATGCATAGTTCATAAACAGGAGAAATAACTAGTGCTTTAACAAAATTCCTGCATTGTAAGTTTTTCTCCTTTTGCCACTAGAGAACATTTTGAAGTAACAGTTTAATTATGAGAGGATTTTATTTTTTTGAGGGAGGAAGACATAGGTCCAAGTAACAGTGAGAGAAATTATTGTTGATTTCTGAACCAGTGGACTCAATGAAATTGAGTTTCTGTTGACTGTTTTTCATTAGTGGTAAACAGTTTGGGTTATTCATTCATTTGCTTGTTTATTCATTCAATAAGCATCAAAAGCCAGTATATACAAGACACTGAAAATCTTAACTATACTAATATGTGTCCTCAAATACTTGCTTATTATATATCAAATGTGTTTAAAGTACATAGTGTATATGGTAGTATAAAGTACTCTAGAACAAACAACTAAATAGCTCAAAAACAATGATCTGCTTGACCATTGATAACTACAAACATTATGTTCTACTAAAGATGTAAAATCAAACTGGTACATTTCAACCCACTGGGCATATGAAGGATTATGACTTAGTTATATCCTATGTCTTCATGTATGCCTCTGTCAACTTGTAAAACGTGTAAAAGTATAGATGAGCCATGACCTTGGATAACTACATAGCATTTTAAATGGAATATAACCATTTATCTTATTGTTATCTTAAATAATGAATGCTGTACTTAGATCTTTCCAAGGATTTGCTAAATAAATGTGCATTTAAAGATTCAGATCCTCAAAAGATTAAAATAAAACTGCCATATGACCCAGCAATCCCACTACTGGGCATTTATTCAAAGGATATAAAATTAGTATGTCAAAGAGATATCTGCCTTCCCATGTTCATTGCAGCATTCTTTACAATAGCTAAGATACTAAATCAACCTATGTGCCCATGAACAGATGAATGGATAAAAAAATATGGTATATATACACAATGGAATGCTCTTAACCTTTAGAAAGGGAAATCCTGCCATTTGGGACATGAATGAATCTGGAGGATATTATGTTAAGGAAAATAAGCCAGGCACAGAAAGACAAATACCACATGATCTCACTTTTAAGTGGAATCTAAAAAAGTCAGAATCATAGAATAGAAAATACAATGGTGCTTACCAGTGTGTACTGGTGGGGAGGGCAGAGTGATTGGGAACATGTTGGCCAAATGATAAAAAATTTCAGCTAGACAGAAGGAACAAGTTCAATTGTTATATAACTGACTGTAATTAATAACATATACTTGAAGATTGCTAAGACAGTAGACTTTCAGTGTTCATACCACAAAAAAAGCACGTGAGGAAATAGATATGTTAGCTAGTTTGGTTTAGCCATTTCACAATATATGTACATATTTCAGAACATGTTATACATTATAAATATATAGTGTCAATTTAAAATAAAATTAAAGGTATTTTTACCTCTAAAGTCAAGTTTATTTTACAATGATATTACAAGGAACTTAACTATTTTCTGATTATCAGTATAACCAATCCTTCGTTGTTAACTTGAGCAAAAAAAATGATGTGAAATAATGCAAACTGGAAGCCTTAATATAATATCTTTGATTAAAATATTAGATGAAAGTATCCTTTATCTAATAAAGTTTACTAGTGCATTTTAACCTAATTATAGAATCATACTGGATTTCTCTTTAATACACCAACCTTTAATGGAAATTTATTATTAAAGATTATTTTTATATGGTATTGTGAATAAGAAATTAGGAAAATGGGAAATGAAATAAACAAAATAGGATACTTTTTCTTTTCCTACCTCCCTTCCATTTGTCCACCTTTTTACTTTCTATTTAAAGTAAATTTGACAATCTAAATTCTATTTACAATTTAATGATTTCTTCTTTAACTTTATATCCTTTTCTTTATTATTCTTATAGAAAAGAGAAAAAAATTGAATCACCCCAGTTTAACTGAAAGCAAAGAATCTACAACAAAAGACAATGATGAGTAAGTTTGTTATTTTTGAAATTATATACATGTGTTTTGCAGGAAGATGTTCATATTTGTTAAAGTGACCATTTAAAAGCATTTATTTGTAGAAATTAATAGTTTATATGTAACCTGAAATATTATTTTTTAAAGAAGTAAAATACCTTAGTTGTGATGTGATTTGTGATATTCTATAATGGTTATATGATACCTTAATTTTAGTACTTATTGAGCCCAGTTCTCCCAGTCTGTGCATAATAGACCAGCTCAGGGTAAAATTGAGGAAGCCACTTATTTCATATTTACACAGATGGAGAAATAATACATGGTTTAGGAACAAAATATTTAATAAATAGCTGGTTCAAGATGGAACTAGAAACAGTGAAATCAGCAGAGTAAGAGATCTAGAGGAACCTGGAAGGCCTACATGCCAGCAACCAATCATTTTCATATTGTCCTGCTGGTGGTACCTTTGAATTTAGACATTATCTTCAGAAAGCTGCTGTCTAAATAGGCAAAGCCTGGGAAGAATACTGATGCTCTTCATATCTGTGTGTTCCACATTTGTGGATTCAACCAATCACAGATTGAAAATATCTCGAGAAAAAAATGAATGGTTGCATCTGTACTGAACATACACTTTTCTTTATTGACACTTTCCTAAACCAATACAGTATAACAACTATTTATATAGCATTTACATTGTGTTCGGTATTATAAGTAATCTAGAGATGATTAAAGTATATGGGAGGATATGCATAGGTTATAGGCAAATACCATACCATTTTATATGGGGGACTTGAACCTCCATGGATTTTGGTATCTGCAGGAGTCCTGGAACCAATTCTCCACAGATGTTGAGGGACAACTGTATTTGTATCTTCTTCCTGGAAGAATTGAACTAAGCAGAATGGGGGTTAAATTTTCAAAGTAGTGCATACGTTTGTCTCATTTACCATTTCAGTGTATCTTCTTCTATGTACCACACCCTATCATTGACACTAAAGAGTAAAGATAAGAAAAATGAAGTTTCTCTCCATTGGGAGCTTATGATCTTTTTTTTCTTCCCCCCACCTGGAGACAGGGTTTCATTCTGTTGCCCAGCCTGGAGCACAATGGTGTGATCACCATTCAGTGCAGCCTCAACTTCCTGGGCTCAAGTGATCCTCCCACCTCAGCCTCCTGTGTGGCTGAGACTACAGATGCATGCCACCACGCCCTATTAATTTGTGTAGTTTTTGCAGAGACAAGGTTTTGCCATGTTATCCACGCTAGTATTGAACTCCTGGGCGCAATCTATCCACTCACCCAGGCCTCCCAAAGTCCTGAGATTACAGGTTTGTGCCACTGCATGCCGCCTGGGAGTTTATGATCTTATGTTGTAAGCTAGTATACCTTCCTCAATTTAGAAATGGGTTATGTTTACAAATGTTTTTGGAATAATTTACATGGAACTCAGAATACATTTTCCACGCAAAGAGTGTTATAATCTGTGGTTATAGCCCCAAGTCAGGGCACAGATCTATTTATTTCATAACATAGCTGAACAGTAGTGTTGGTAGTAGTCCAGGTTAAAATGGAAACTGAGTGCCATTTAAAATACCTTAGGGACAAAGAGAAGAGTTTTTCAAAGAAGCCTCATTGTTTGGCATCTCCTACATCTATTCTTTATTTGTTTTAAGTAGCCATTCATGCTGCTCCTCCAGCTCCAAATATTTGCGTGTTTCAGTCTTTTCTGCCCCACAAATATTTTTGTTGTAAATTATTTCTTCCTACTCCTAATCAGAGCTTTTGTTTCCTCAGTGAACTGATCTCAACTAGATATTAACAGGAAAGCATTCTTTTTTTGTTTAACTTATTTAATGTTTTTTAATATAGGAAATATATGTACATAGTAAAAAAATTCAAATGGTACAAAAGGATATACAGTGAAAGCAAGTATCATGTAAAAATGTATAAATCACAGATAATCTTGTATTTGAAAGCAGGTGCCTGCTAAACCAAATTAATTTCTGATACAGTTATATAAAGTATAAATAGGCAGTAAAGGAGGAAATGTCTTTGGACAAAAGTGATACCAGTTAAGCAAGCCTGTTGTTTTTCGACCTGAATCAGCTCCACTTAATAGTGTCTTTCCTTCTTTCTTCTTGTAAACCAATCAATTTATTTAGAGCTCAATTTTTAAAACAATACCTCCCATGGCAGTGGGCTTCAAGGAGCAAGGGAAGAGCAAAAACCATTGTTATGAGTCACATAGGAATTTGCCTTCATTTATATAATTTATTAATTTCTCTCCATATTTGTTTCTAAAGATCTCTATTATTTAAGTATATCACTCCACGAGTTGTTGTTATAATTAGTGAATTTAAGTATGAGCTGCAACATTTTACAACATATAAAAATAATGGGCCTGGTGTGGCAGTTCACACTTATAATCCCAGCACTTTGGGAAGCCAAGGCAGGCAGATCACTTTAGGCCAGGAGTTCTGCCTGTCTCTAGAAAATACAAAAACTAGCTGGGCGTGGTGGCAGGCACCTGTGGTCCCAGCTACTCAAGAAGCTGAGGCAGAAGAATCACTTGACCTTGGGACAGGGAGGTTGCAGTGAACTGATACTCTGCTACTGCACTCCAGCCTGGGCAACAGAGCAAGACCATGTCTCAAATAAATGAAAAGTCTTTCTAGCAGGAGACTGAGGAAGGAAGATTACATGAGGCCAGGAGTTCTAGGCTATAGGGCACTACGGTCCTTCCTGTGAATAGCCACTACACTCCAGCCTGGGTGATGTAGTGAGATACTGTCTCTTAAAAAAAAAAAAAAAAAAGGAAAAGGATGCATTTCTTTTTGTTTGTTTGTTTTTTTTTTTTTTTTGGTCAGACAGTCTTGGCTCAGTTGCCCAGGCTGGAGTGCAATGACATAATCTCAGCTCACTGCAACCTCTACCTCCTGGGTTCGAGCTATTCTTCTGCCTCAGTCTCCTGATTTCAACTGGGATTACAGGCGAGTAGATAGGATTACAGGTGCCTACTACCATGCCTGGCTAATTTTTGTATTTTTAGTAGAGACGGGGTTCCACCATGTTGGCCAGACTGGTCTTGAACTCCTTACCTCAGGTGATCCACCCACCTTGGCCTCCTAAAGTGCTGAGATTACAGGCATGAGCTATGGAACCCTGCCAGTGTGCATTTCTGATTGGTTTTTTTTTTTTTCATTCATAAAATTACTCAGTCCTAGCTAATAAAGCCACTTTTAGCTTTTACTAAAGCTAAAAATAGGTGATTTATTCCATTTGTTTCTATTTCTTTTATTTTGTAAAACCACTGCCTAAAGACTTGGATTTTTCTCTTCTTGAGAAACAGAATCATGCTGTCTCACCCAGGCTGGAGTGCAGTGGCACAATCATAGCCTACGATAGCCTTGAGCTCATGGGCTCAAGTGATCTTCCCACCTCAGCCTCCTGAGTAGCTAGAAATACAGGTATGTTAATACACGTGGCTAATTCTTTTACTTTTTTGTAGAGATGTGATCTTGCCATGTTTCCAAAGCTGAACTTGCACTCCTAGGCTAAAGCAGTCCTCCTGCCTCAACCTCAAGACATGGATTTTTTAAATCCCAAATTAAATGGAACATTGCCAGGCACAATGGTTCATGCCTGTAATCCTAGCACTTTGGAAAGCTGAGGCAGGCAGTCCACTTGAGCCCAGGAGTTTGAGACCGGCTTGGGCAACATGGCCAGACCCTGTCTCTATGGAAAAAAAATAGTTTTTAACTAGCTGGGTGTTGTGGTACACACCTGTGATCCCAGCTACTTGGGAGGCTTAGGTGGGAGGATCACTTGAGCCCAGGAGGTTGATGCTGCAGTAAGCTGTGATGTCACTGCACTCCAGCCTAGGCAACAGGGTGAGACCTCATCTCATTCAGTCAATCAGTGAATTAGTCAATAAACTGAACATTTCACATCTGTGGATCAGTTTTAAATGATCACAACATTTTGTTTTGTTTTAGCAATATTCTCATTTTTTTTCTTTGCAAAATGCCATAGCTAGGAGAGATACAAGAGAGGAAGCAAGGCATCTGCTTCTAGAATATTTCCTGTAGCTTCAGTACTTTGATGGAGTCACTGTAGATTCAGTGTTTGATCCAAACTATACAAATTTAGAAACTCACCGTGAGTTGTTGAAGCATAAGGAATTAGTGAGTATGAATCAGCCTCAGGACAAACTGATGTACAATGGAAATGCCATATTATTATGAGAACTTTATTGATACCCTCAGGATAGCCTCTTCTGAAAGTCAGTCTGTTCTGATAAAAAAAGAATAAAAGTTATTTAAAGATATTCCACAATTTGGGCCGGGCACGATGGCTCACACCTGCAATCCCAGCACTTTGGGAGGCTGAGGCGGGTGGATCACGAGGTCAAGAGATCGAGACCATCCTGGTCAACATGGTGAAACCCTGTCTCTACTAAAAATACAAAAATTAGCTGGGCATGTGGCACGTGCCTGTAGTCCCAGCTACTCGGGAGGCTGAGGCGGGAGAATTGCTTGAACCCAGGAGGCGGAGGTTGTGGTGAGCCAAGATCACGCATTGCACTCCAGCCTGGGTAACAGGAGCAAAACTCTGTCTCAAAAAAAAAAAAAAAAAAAAGATATTCCACAATCTAAGAATTAAAGGAGTAAGATGTTTTAATGAATATCTTCATTTAGCTGAGTTAGTTATATATATCCCTTTCTGTACGAAAGATAGCACTGCTATTCGTTATCAGTATGGGAAAAATTTAATCTGGACCCTTACCTCACATCACACACAAAAATCAATTCCAGGTGGATTGGAAGTCTGAATATGAAAGGTAAAAGAATAAAACTTTTAGAGAACTCAACCTTAGAGTAGGTAAAATGCCAACCATAAAAGGAAAAGATTGATAAGTTAAACAGCTTTAAAAGTCCTTTTGGTAAAAAGAAACTTTGTAGAGTGTGAAAATACAACCCACAAAGTGTGAAAATATTTTCAAGACAATT